ACTTGCACTGGCCATGTCACCAGACTGAGCCACGTTCTCACATTTCTGCATATGAAATTCCTGCTTGTATCTCAGGAAGAGGGAAAACTACCAAAAAAGAGTCCCTGTGCATAAGCCCATGTGTTGAAAAGCTATTTGTAATACTTTTTTTTTTTTTTTCCCTAAAAATGTGTCTAACTTGGTCATATTTCTGTCATACAGAGCTTTCACCAACATGTGTAATAATCTGCCGGGATAGCAGGATACCTTCTCCATCCTTATTGCCGCTTCAGTCTCTCCATTAGCTAATGTTCTTTGGGTAGACAAGTTGTTCTATGTTTCTGTCTTCCTTGGAGGATTATTTTTGCTTTGGATTACTGTTTTTGTCAGCTTGTCTGTCTGTATTTGTACCTTCTTGGAGATATCACGCTAAATTATGCCATTTATCATGTCATGACAGGACTTTAGTCTGTATTGCCTAAAATTGCCTTATTATTCAAGTCTGCATTGGGAGCTGACAAAACAAAAGCTGAAAACGGCATTAAGAGCCTAATACATGCTTACCACCATTTTCTTACAAAAAGCAAGCTCAGACATGAGGTGATGGCTGAGGGGACGTCTACATAAAACGAGGTGGTACCATGTAGAGCTAATCACGGATAGCAGAAGTAACACAGGCACTTCAGTGCAGCGCTGTCCCTGCTAACGTTCTCAGAAGGGATATTTAACCCGGGAGGTCACTCCCAGTACCTGGGGCAGCTTTTCTTGTCCATTAGGCCTGCTCAGCCCTTCCTAGCCCAGAAATTCTCCCCAAATCGCTCTCGCCCCTCAGGCTTCTTTTGTAAGTCCAGGTGCCAACAGGCCTCCCTGCTCACTGGGCGGTGGGGTCTCTTCTGCTCATCTCCCAGTGAGAGAAAAACGCCATCAGAAGAGAGCGGAGTGGTGCCCGCTCCCAGCGCCGGCTCCCAAGCGGCAGGGAGCCTGCGTTTCTGCCCTGCAAGCTGACGCCCACTCTAGTTAATGGAATTGGTGCATCTCTGTCCCCATGTCCATCCCAGCGCTCTAAACAACTCCAGCCCGGGCAGTAAGATTTTCCATGTCACCCTTATGGGGAACAGTCACTCTCTTAAAGCTGACTGACTGCAGACAGTGAGAAGGCAATATCTTGACAGTGAAATGGAGAAGAATCAGGTCCACAATGCATGAAGTTTAGCACATGCATAAGTACCCGCATGGCTGAGACCCTCACATGCTGCGTAACACCAATGTGTCACAAAGTTCTGGGGGAAAAAAATGCCATTTTTTTCATATCAGAGATTTTGAGAAAGAAATAGAAATAATGTCTACTTAATGACAAATTATCAACTGGTGATAAAGAAAATGACTAATAGGAAATAATAGCATATGAAATAAAATAGCACATGTTCAGTAGCCAGACTCAAAGTGGGAATGAACACAATTCTTTTAAAAAGATAGACTAAGAGAGGTCTCCAATAAATTTAACGTTTTCTATGTCAAATGCAAGTACGATCAGTAAAAATGTACAAGTGAAGACAAAGGTCACATTTTCTAGAGAACTTCCTTAAAAATAAATGCTTGCACATTTTACATCCCAAATAATGCAATAATGATTTCACAACTTGCAAATGCAAAGCACGGGCAAAGTTTATGAGAAGAAAGGTAGCCAAAAATTGCAAATTGCTCAGAACAAATAAATCCTTCATACAGTTAAACATACTTTAGTCATATACTCTGTACTGTTCTGCTGATGGATCCCTGTGAACTTTTGATGATTATGGCAGGATCCGGCAGCACACTTTCACCCACTTCATCATCTATTATGGCAAGCACCAGCTGTAGTCACAGCCATTTTCTTCTACTCTTGTTTTCTGCTAGCCTTACAAGTAAGTTACCATAGCAGGGTGAGGGTAAATTGTAGAAGCACGTCCTTTCACAGAACGTAAGGATTACGCTGCGTAGTTGCAGAAGCTGCTTGGTACCACTCATGTTATCTCCAAGATACACACAGTACAAGGTGCTTTAGTTCTACCGCAACACTTAATTTACCATGCTCAGTCCAAGTTTGGGGTAAAGGACTGAACTTGGTGAATTTACCTACATATTAATTAAAAAGAATTTTGCACTTGCAGTATCTGTGAGTTTAAAAAAATGTATTGTTTTATTTTGTTTTTCTTGTTGTTTTGTTTGTTTTTAGAACAGTGAAGACGGCTGGCAGTAACAGCAAACAATCCTGGTACTTTCTTAAGGAGCATTGCAGCGATGTGCAACCCATCAGTTGTTTTCCATGTAGGAGTTCCTGTCCATTCACCTGGCTTGGGGTGCATTTTAGCATCTCTGATTGCAAGATGGTAGACATGAGCAGTGGTATTAACCTGGACAGCTCCTGTCACTTTTTAGCAAAAAGTCCCAGCTCAGTATTGCATTGCATGTGATACTTAGTATATTTGGTCTTCATTAACTTAGGCTATGAACTCATTATATGCATATTTAGACTTAGTGACTGTCTTAACATCTGCATAATTATACTCTCAAATTTAACACAATATTAAAAGTATGTCTTCTTTAAAAAACAAACTGAGATGAAATATAAAGAAGTTAAAAATATTCTAAGCCACTATGGGATCTCAGAATGAAAACTGATATAGCTGATAAACACGTTTACTTATTTGGACACTTACTATATTATATCCTATATTAAACTGGCCAATCGGAAATTTAATATAATTTGCTAACGCTGGGAGGGTATTTTTATTTTGGTGCCATTAACTTATGTTGTTGTCTCAGCGTTTTTCTTTTTAAATCAAGTTTTATGAAAAAAATTCTTAGAATAACACAGTGTGGTGCTCTCTTTGCGGAGTTATTTCCTTCAAGAGTGTAACTGCCATTTTCTAGGACAAGTACAGTGGCCTGCAAGGAAAGGCAGCTCTGTTGTGTCAGCTTTCTTATACACTGTCATCTAGACTAGCATGCCACCAGTACTTCTGGTGTCCCTGCAAAGAAACCGCATTTAAAATGCATTACTCATCTGCAGCAAAGAAACTTTTCTAAAATGAACTGTTTGCTTACTTTGCCTGCTGTGCTCATGTTGCCTGGCGTGTCTGTTTCGAATCTTGCTATCACTGGATTCTTGCACTGGCGGTTCAGTCAGCTCCAAAGCAGTCACGTTGCCAATATCACAAGTCCCGTCCAACTCACTGGAAGCTGCTCCTGCAACCTGAGTCTACAAATATATTGCTCAGACCTCTTAGCCAAGCCTCCTAGCACTGAGCCCCACCCCTTAAACACCCAAATCACTGGAAAGAAAATAAACCACTCCTCTGCTGAAACCTGGCTCTTCACAGTACTTCTGTCGTGATTCCTTTGCACCTCACCTCTGCGCTTCCCATGTCCTGTCTGTGGTGGTCTCAGCACCACAGGAAGGAAGCAAAAGCTCTGGCTCAGAGCTCTCCTCTCTTTGCACCTCCATGGGAGGTTGCGCTCCAAGCTTGCTATTCTTAAGTGAGCAGGAGCAAGGAGAGGGAAGAGCTGCTCAAGAACTCACAGCAGCAGGGACACAACAGTGAGAAGTGGCAGCATCATAACATATGGCATTTTTCCTGCTCTCTGCTGTGTCACTCTTGCCCCTCAGCTTTTCTGATTTACCTTGGCGCCCCTCCAAGAGCGGCCAAGTTAAAACAGGCTATTGTGCAAGCTACTTAAGAAAGATATACTGCCCCTCTGCTGCAATACCTGCTCCTTAGGGAAATTTCTTTTCCTTAACTTTACCGCCTGGCTACTCATTAATCTGAAGGAATAGCGTTGAGTGAACAGCGAGCAAGGACAACATGCTGATGGGAAAACCCCAAATCACTAAGTCAGCAAGAAGTGCTGTGAGAAGGTGCGTGTTTTGTATGAGGTGTGATACTGCATTCATTTTGCAAGTCATTGCATGAACCCTCAGTTCGATCACGACAGGGGAGCGCAGGCCCAACACCCTCTCGCATGCCAGCGTACTCACCCTCTCCTGGCGCGAGGGACACGCTGGCCCCCGCTCGCAGGGCAGAACTGAGGCTCCTGCTTGGCGACGCACCCTCAGGTCTGGTGCTGCTTGGGGCGCTCTGGGGAGCAAGTTGGGTCACAGGGTCCTGAGCAGGCAGAGGCAGGGCATCACCTGCAGGCAGGATTCGTAACAGACCAGCTGGTGAGCTCTTGAGGACTTGTTTTCTTCCCAAAAGTGGTCTCACGTAGCTACTACCTTCACAACAGAACATAAGACTGGGTGTTGATCAGCACTGCACACCTTGGCTGTGGATTTCAAGCCTCAACTGTGTTTCTAAATTGCATCCAACATTTTGAAATCAAGAATTTTCCTTCACAAACAAACAAGAGACAAAATAACGTGATAACCTGACTGTCGAAATACAGTGGTCTCAATTCCCTGTATGACTGTAATTAATTTAGGAGGGGCTATAGGAAGAAGCAGCAGAGGGAAATGAATTAGGTTAAGTGTAACCATGAGCATATACTTCAGAGACAGCAGGGCTTTCTAATAGCTCCAGAGATGCAAGTCCAGCCTGCCATGGGATCCTAGCCTTGTTTGGGCAGCGCTAAGAAAAAAAGATTAAGAGCCCCTGCTAAACAATTCAAAGACCCATGGAGTAATTATGAGCAGGTGACCTGAGGCTTCCCTATGGAAAAAGGCTGACAAAGAGACCGTCTATAGATAGTGAGCTGTCTGCTACCTAGGGAAAGGCAGACCGCAACATATTCGTCCTTATATAGTCTGCTGTACTGCTTTGAAGCTAAGCTCCTCTCCCCAGGCCCCAGTGCTTTCACTGTGTAATGTGTTTTTGTTTTGTAGAGCACTGGTCGTAATTAATCTCTCTTGCTGTGCTTCTTGAAAGAACAGAGCTATCAGTGTCACAGAAATTTGGTCTGCTAAGGTCACAATACAAATCCCAAGGTTCATGGGGAAGCTAGCTTCATAAAGGTATTGATTTTTGAGAATGCTGCAGATCAGCTATGACTGCTTGCGATACAGCAGATACTACAAGTTGCGCTCACACACTTTCTGAACTGTACAGTCTTTTGTGGCACACCGAAGGTAGAGGAATTTCAGATAAGCCCTGCGTTGGCCAAGCTCACACGTGGACACTATGACTCTAAACTCAGGGATTTTACCTAAATGGAAGTACCAAATCCTTTCTCCTCTACTCTGCTTACAGTAATGAGCTGACACAAACCCATCACGTGGAGACTGAAAGATTATGCAGCTAAACCCCATGTCTGAAACAAGAGGCTGTGGCTTTTTAGTGGTTATACAACACTGGTCACTAATTTTTCTCCCTCAAGAATTTGTGTGAACACGGGCTCGGTACCGCCTCGTTCTGGAAGGAGGGCTGAGCCCCTTTCCCCACCAACCAGCCAGCAGAGACTTCATGCTGCAGCCTCAACACATCAGCTGGGAAAGACCACACGTATGGAAGGCCAGCCTCAAAAACCAAACGCTCTTTCCGCAGGTAACCACCCAGTCGTCTACTGGATGAAAAAACCTGCACCCTACCACCCAGAGATCTCTGCTCTGAGGGTGGAGTGACGGCCAAAGAGCTCAAAGGACAAGGCTTGGCGGCTCTGAGGAAGTGTAGGCAATACCACTAGCTTTCCTAGAGGATGCCTCACCGTGTCAGGCTGAAAATTTGAGAGGGGAGGTGCTATTAAAATGTTGGCAGCATAACACAAAAGGTCAACACAGAAACGTGCATAAAAAAAATTAAATTCTCCCAGTAATGCCTTCAAGATAAAAGATACATTCTACATACTCTATGTGGAAATACATCCAGAACAAGATGGCTTACCTTCCTCTAATACACTGACAGTTCCTCCACAACGCCTCAAGAAGCAACACCTAGTGACTTGCATTTCCTAGAAAAATTTGTAATAGAATGAGGAATTTCTAGTCCAGTCTATTCCTTGATAGTTTTCTTTCTCCCTTCCTCCCTTCTTCTGAAGTTCCCCTCTCTTTTTTCCTATCAATCTCTTCTCCGATGCCTTTGTGCCTTCCTTCCCCTCAAAACTCTCATCTGCTTATCTCTCTTTTTGCAAATCATGTCCATGGAATGGTTTTACAGGAGCTGGGATCCCATCTCATCTGATTACAGTAGGGGCCTCCTCTGGCAACACGGCGCAGTGGATCGTTCTGCAGCCAGCGCAGGTGGAGGAGGCACCACTGTTTTAGGAAGAAGGTGGCAAGAATAAGGAGTGAGACTATTGCACATGGCGCCAGGGAAACAACAGCCAACTTGCATAGCAACGTGGCAGGAACCGCTCGACCTGCATTGCTTGGTCAGATTGCTCCAGATGTCGAGGAGAGAGCCGAGAGGCAGGGTGGAAGGCAGCCGGCACGCGGGGAAGCTACGGTGCTGCCCCTTTAAGGCTCTCTCTCTCTCTGCAGGCCCCTGGGCTCAAAGCTTTGCTTTGACACTTCCCAGGAAATTGATCCATCTGTTCCTAGATCCCATCCGGTCCTCTTTTAGGAAAGTTCGCTACAAGGAGAATTTTTCTTTAAGCTTAGGTACTTACTCTATTCCTTTTTATGCAATTAAGGCATGCTATATGATTATTTTATCAGCCTTTTATCTAATTTGACCCAACTGCCATAGGGCAATACTTTTCTCTCCCTAGTGATTCATTAACTTGAGCAGAGCCCAGCGAAATGTAGCGAGAGAGGCAGAAGGAAAAGCACAAAAGTTGGAGTTGTCAATGGCTGTTGAGCTTGCAGACAAAACTTAGGGGCAGCAAAGAAAGGCCCTCTCATGCGACTCCAGATCAACTTCACTCCGGGACTCTAGCTTTTGCAAAGGAGAGGGAACATGGGACGTGCTCCGCAGACAGTATCCCTAGCTATGCCTTCTGGCTGTAGGTGCTTGCAACAGTAGGTGATTCTTCTGTAACTGCTTCCCCTTCACAGGCAGCACAGCTCTATCAGCACTGAGCAGGCTCGCGTGGATCGCTTTCCTCAATTGGTGTGAAGTTGCCTCCACACCAATAGAGCTAGTGGCTCCTGAAACAGCCTTCTTTTAACATGAACAAAATTATTTCTGCTGCACCAAACTTGACCCTATTTAATAGGACAAAATTATAGTCACAGCTAAAGTGACTTGACCCTATAGGAAAAAAGCTTTTAAGTGCAATTACGCATCACAGTCTTCAGTGGCAATTATACATTCTTCAGTTATACAGATAATAAAATACTGGCCTCAGTTAATACTTAAGTATTCTTAAAAATAGGTACATTTTCCTGCATTTACACTACTATTATTTTTAAGCTTACTAAGCATTTGTATTTCTTTTTAGACAGTGATTTTAGTGGTTCAAAAATAAAGACAGTTTTAGTCTTGCTGAGGGTCTTCAGGATTCTTCAATTTGAATGGAACGAGTCACTTTCCATACTTCTAACATGGCAAGCCTTTGGAAATGGGTTATATGCAAACTGATCAGCTTTACGTTGAAAATTTGCCATTTCCTCCTACTGTGTGACAGCAGCTTCCAAGTTACTCTTTTACAAGTCACTTCTGGCTCTTCAGAACTTGGTGAGTCCTAAAGACTCAGCTCCGGGCTCCCCAAAATCCAGCACTTCTGAAGCTCCACCCTATCTAGTATGGAAGCTGTGAATGCTCAGCTCCCTTCGTATTTTTCCAGTTGTCCATGCCAAAGGACAAGCTGCAGGGAACGCTACTGGTGCTCATTAACGTAAAGAGATTAAACGGAGCTGCAGGTAAGATTCAGAGCTAATGTGCAGATCAGGTTAAACCTGTTCAAACAGGTCAGAGTGAATACCTGAAGATTATACAGCATGCACTAGAATTTCCTCTAGAAACCCTGAGATGGCACTCGCACTGATGCACCATGCTGCTGAGTCCAAACAAATTAACCTTCAAGTATGCCATTGCAGTTATCAACATCTCTGCAGAAAGTGCATCAACAAAATGACAGCACCTACGAAATAATACGTTTGCATCATCATCCATCTATTGATTTTCAGCTGACCACACATTTAAATACTTGCTACCTGATTTTTCTCAAAACTGTTGGACAATTAAGGTCGTTAAGCCGCATCAGAAAAATGACTAATGTCAAGTAGGTAAAAGTAGTTCAAAGGTAAGCACAAGACTGCACCTAAGGGTATTTTTGTTTTCAGCCCCTTGGCAGTGGGGCACACACAGT